TGGTTAATCTCATAACATTCATACCACTATTGCATCCATGGCAGTTGTAATTGTAGCTTGCACGGTTCACAACTGGATAAGAATCTTCATGACTTCTTCCCCCAGCAGCCTGCAGAGCCAAATAAGTTTTTAAATAGTGGGTCCCTTGGCTCTCACCAACTTCCCTTCCTAACAGGAATGTGCCTTCTGATAAGATAAACATTAAGGAAAATAGCAGAAATCCCAGCAAGGCTGAAACTAAAAGTAATGAGCAACAGCTACCTCACTAGTAAAGTTTGGTGTTGAATCAAGACTGGCTTCCTGGTAGCTACTTTTTATACAACCAACAAACCGAAATGGTTTCAGTTTAAAGCAAAGATCTACAGTACTGATATAAAGGCTCTAAGCAGAAAATGACAAAACCTAGCACGATCTTTCTTTTTCCTTCAACTTGGTACTATAAGGAGTCATTTCAAATATTTTTCTGGTGCTTTAAGATTTAGAATCCAAAATGTTGAATGACTCTTTACTGGAGGATGCTGTGGGCAAGCATATGCTCAAGTTCTCCATGCTTTGCTGCCCTGAAAGGTAGGTGCATGTACTAGCAGTTGCTGGAAGTCTTAGTGCTCATTGGTAAACACAAAATAACAGTGATGCATGGTAGGAAAGTGCAATTTTTAAATTTATTTATTTATTTATTTATTTGTTTATTATCTTTTTGAGACAGCGTCTCCCTGTAGCCCCAGCTGGCCTGGAACTCACTATGTAGACCAGGTTGGCCTTGAACTCACAGAGATCCGCCTGCCTCTGCCTCCCAAGTGCTGGGATTAAAGGCGTGTGCCACCATGCCTGGCACTTATTATTTTTGTTTTATGTGTATGAATGTCTTGCCTGCATGTAAGTGCACCTGTGCCGTACAATGCCCAGAGAAGTCAGAAGAGGGCGTTGGATCCTCTGGAACTGGAGTTACAGATGATTGTTAGCTGCCATGTGGGTGCTGGAAATCGAACCCAGGTCCTCTGCAAGAGCAGTCAGTGCTCTTAACCGCTGAGCCACCTGTCCATCCCTGGAAAGTGCAATTTTATATTCTACCTATTGTGAAGCAATTTTAGGTTTATGTAAGAGAACCTGTACCCTTGTCCATCGGCTGCAGCCTTCAGAGCCCTGGCAGCCATTTGCAGGACTTGATATGAAGATGTCTGACTCACAACTCCTTCCTAAATGTGCTTTTTGTTGGCAATTGTATAATGACACCATAAAAAGCCCCAAAGAGGAAACTTAGAGTATTTTCCATGTAATTAACCTGACAGCTGCTGTTTAATTTTGGAGAGTAGGTGGAGCATGCAGAAGCTTGCCTGATTCTAGCCAACCCTTTGTGCAGTGACCTGCATGCTGAGGACACTTCAAACATCAAGAGGTAAGGCGCTGGCATTGCCTTTGTTTGCACCACTGATGGCGTTTTTCTCAGTGACTAACTGCAAGCCTGTTATATAAGACACAGTGAGAGAAAACCCTCTAACACTACCAGGCTTGCCAGGTGCCAGGTTTCTGCCTGTTTGCTTTCCCATGTACCCAAGATAAAGACTACAAAAGGAAGTGAAAACAAGACATCCTGATCTTCTCCATGTTTTCCTGCTGTTTCTTATGATCATAGTTATCCAAATATAAGAGCTACATTTCCAGCCCTATCTTTGGGTTGGTGTTTAGAGAGTACCATAAGTGAGAACCTCTCATGTTAGAAAACAAAGATGCTATTTGTGAACTCCATTTGTACTCTTTATTTATTGGAATCTCTTTTCAGTAGTTCTGGGAAAAGATTATACAGGATTCAGTATAATGTACTTGTGACCATTGGCAAGTAGTTTCAAGATGGGTAGAGTTCACTTTAACAGTGAAGTATCTATGAGCAGAAATTTGACTTATGGTAACCGAGACTAGTGGCTCTGTTCCCAGAGCAAAATAGATTTGCATAAAGTTGAAGATGACTTTACACAGAGCAAGAAACAGCTGGGAAATTATACCACAAATGAACATCGGATATTAATCTAAAATATGAAAAAATTGATTCAGACAATATATTAGCCACTTCAAGCTATAGACCACAGGCTAACGGTATGTGATACTGTTATGTCTTCTTTGTGAATGGACTCTCAAAGGCCAGTTCTCCAATACTAAGACCGGACTGTTCTATCATTTGGTTACTTAGTCACTTAAACAATGTCGCTTCTCTGTGCCTGTCATTAAATAGAATGTTTTTCAGAACATTATGCCACTAAATAGAACACTTCTAGAAAACAAGCTAAAATTTTTATAATGTGCTGAGTTTTCCCATACTCACCCACAAATAAATTTAATTCTGAATTGAGTTATATTTCAGACCCAATATGGCATATGACTATTGAGTATAACTATGTTTTTTTCACGGTGCTGTATATAAAAAACTATTATCCAAAGACCAGAGTCATCATACAGATCCTTGAGTCCCACAACAAGGTACTGTGACATTGCAGTGAGTTTCCTCATCTTTAGGTCTCTAGAGCTAGGAGAATGTTTCTGCTATCTGATGGAGCTATAAATTAGAAAAGACTTGTCAAAAATAGATGAAATGTGAAACTTTTTTCAAATGGTTAATCACTTGGGGACTTGAACTATGGTCAGAATTCATGATCTCAGTCATTCAATCTGAGTTTTAAAGCTCCAGCCAGTTGTTGTTTAAAAACTGGAAGCACTAGAGGAGCACTAACCACTTTCAAAAGCTGAATTTGTTCTAATCTCTTCCTTTAACCCTGATACCACTTTTATTCTCAAGAGTGAAGAGTCATTGATTTCAAATAAATCAAAAGAAAAGCCTCCACCTAGAAAAGCTTTCTTGAGGTCTGTACCTTCTCAGTACCTGACCTATTTCTTATTCTGAAACAGGTTTTCCTGCCAAAAATTCCCAGCTGGAATTGGAGTACTGGAGACAGTATCATCTGCTTCAGAGAATTAAAGCTTGGGTTTATGGCACAAGGCTGCTTGGTACCAGGCCTGTCTACCTTTCTTATGACTCTGTTTATTGAAGAAAACCAGAAGGTAACTTTGTAAACTTACGTGGACTCTTAGCTCTTTCTCTATGTCCCACATAACATCAGAAATAGAGCAAAGTAAGAGGTCTTCAAGGAATAAGATTGGATTCTAGAACAGGGAAGGACTGGCAGAGCCAGCCTGAAGCTCTGCACTTCTCTGGCCTTGATGAAGTCATTGTCTTACCTTTGCAGTACTGAGCTGCAAAACAGGAATTGTAATATTTTTTACAGGTGCACTCTGTAGGCAGAAGCAGGGGGATATCTGCGAGGTTGAGGCCATACTTGTCTACATACAAGTTCCAGGTCAGCTGGGGCTATAGGGAGACTCTGTCTCAGAAACAAACAAGAAACAAAACAAAACAAAAAACCCAACCCAAATGAATATTTTTATAAATTTAGAAACACTCTGAATTGACAGCGTAAATGTAAATGTAAATGTTATAGTGTTAACAGAAAAGTCATGTTTAAATGTAAATAAAAGTAAAGCAATATGATTACTATGTTAAATAGAAGTGATATGAATAACTAATGTCTAATTTCTATATTATTTTAGGGAAAGCGCATTCAGTAATGATGATAGTAGGCATATATAGGATGCTTACTATGCCTTCTGTTTCCTCTCAATAATATTTTAAGCTAGTGGGTGGTAAAGTAACCAACTGGGTTGGATAGTAAGGTCCACCATCTTTCCTCTATGCTCCATGCTTCTGCTGCTGGTTATCTACCCACTATCTCCCACATTAAACCTTAGATGCTTTTGTCTGAGACAAAATAAGGGGCAAAGGGGGACTGCTGAGATGAGCTTCCATGCCAAATGTGTGGTCTTTGTTAGAAAATGTTAGATTGGGCTAGACCAGGATGACGTGGAAACAAGGTTGACCACAGGTGGAAACAAGGTTGACCACAGGTGGAGATCTTCGTTAAGAGCAGCAAAGGGCCGTGTGTTCTCCATATATCCAAAACTGAGGCACTGAAGCACAGTCACTGGGCAGGGGTTGGAGTTTCACACAGTTTCCGGCCAGAGGTTTCTCAATGTAACTGGGGCTTTCCAAGCAGAGATCCTTCAGTCTTCAAGAATGTTTTCCTGAAATGCCCCTTGTTGGGGACCCCTGCTGTTTGGGTCGCAGTCTCTCCATGTCCGGATAGCCGCAAGCTCGGCGCATAAATGGAAAAAGACTCCCCTTCTCAGCGGGGCGCCCTCCTACTCTCTTCCTGACTCACCTTTGAAGTGCCCGTGTTGGGGACCCCTGCTGTTTAGGGTCGCAGTCTCTCCATGTCCGGATAGCCGGATAGCCGCAAGCCGGCTTGGCATTCTTATGCAGAGACTCCCCTTCCCAGCAGGGCACCCTCCTACTCTCTTCCTGACTCACCTTTGAAGTGCCCGTCACAGATACATGACCTCTGGCACAGAAACTACCAGGTTTTAATCAGGCATTGTCTGACAGCCTGATAGAAGCCCACTGCCACATGTAAAATAAGCATCCTAGGAGCACCTATCAGCTGAAGCTTTTGCTACTGCCACCACACTATAAATTCTCTAGTTTCCCCCTAATAAATCGAAGCTGTATCACTGAACTTGTCTGGAGCTGTATCCTGTGTTCCACTGCGTCTGCGACCAGCCTGTGATTCAGTCTTCCCAGAGGGGGCTGTCCTTCCGTCAACACCCATTCAGGAAGATCCTGCGTTCGCTTCCTGCACCTCCCCCGCCCACGCGGTCCGGTGGCCAACGGACCGCGGGCACAGAGGAAGCGTCCCACAGCTGGCGCAGAGCCCCCTGCAGCTTGGCGCAGAACCCGCCTGGCAGCTTGCAGCCCCCCGTGGAGCCTGCACTAGCCAGCGCCCGCGGACCAGCTGACCTGCAGAGCCAGAGCCGCCAGCACTTCCAGCCACGGAGAGTAGAGCCGGCGCCCAGCAGCGCGCGACCACAGACCCGCTGCACACACAACAACAGGTGCAGGGCCTGTGCTCCTTCTACAGAAGCTCCTGCAGAGAACAGCTTTCCTGCTACTTCACATACTGACTTCCAGCCTTGTCTCTTTTGGGGCTTTATTTCTTTCATTTGATACGGGTTACTTTTTACATCTTCTCCCATTCTTTCCCTGGAAAAGCAAGAGTGAAACAAGCTGTTCTGGTAGACAAAATGCTGACTCTGGAAGAAACACGATTCAGTGATTCCATCTGTGAACATAAGGAGACATAACGTATAGATTGGAAAGGAGTGAGAATCAGACAGTGGAAGGAGCCTTGGGGCATCTATGAGGACCAGGCTTTGACCTTCACTTTTTGGTGACTTGTGTAGTATTTAGAAAAAGTGACAAAATTTCAGTATCTTTTTTGTTATTGTAACTTTAACATCCATGAATGGAGAAAATAAATGCAATGAAAATTCTATATGAAGACTTGCTTCTTTAATAGAAATACAGTGAAGATGTGAAACCAACCCTACCTGTGGATTTATTGTCTATGAGCTTGTTAATCCTCATTAAAGATGGTCACTTATCAATATGCACCAACAGTGACTTTGAAAACACAGGAGATATTTCTGCTTTCCATATTTTAATTTTAATTTTTATTTATTATTGTCTTTTTGAGACAGGGTCTCCCTGTAGCCCCACCTTGTCTGGAACTCACTATGTAGACCAGGCTGGCCTTGAACTCACAGGGATTGCCTGGCCCTGCCTCCTGAGTGCTGGGATTAAAGGCATGCACCACCAGGCCTGGCCTACTTTCCATATTTTTAAAAGTGAAGTCTGAGGGGCTGGAGAGATGGCTTAGCAGTTAAGTGCGCTGGCTGCTCTTGCAGAGTACCTGGGTTTGATTCCCAGCATCCACATGGTAGTTAACAACTGTCCTTAACTCCAGTTCCAGAGGAATCAAATGCCACCTTCTGTCCTCCGTGGGCACTGCACAACACAAGTACACTTACACACATGCAGGCATAACATTCATATACATAAAATAAAAATAAAATATTTTTTAAAAGTGAAGTATTAATCACTTTTCTATTGCTGTGATAAAACACTGTGACCAAAGGAACTTATGGAAGGAAGTTTATTTAGCTTATAGTTCCAAAGGGACACAAGTCCATCCTGGCAGGGAGGCATGGCAGCAGAGGTGGCTGGAGCAGGAGCAGAAGCTATGCACACATCTTCCAGCAGGCACAGGAAGCAGAGTATGACTGGAAACCCAGCAAGGCTTAAGAACTCTCTAAGCCCACCCCCAGTGACATTCTTCCTCCAGCATGGCCACACCTTCTAAGACCTCCAAAAGCAATACCACCAACTGGGAACAAAATGTCCAAATACTTGGAGCCTGTGGAGGACAGTCTCATTCAAACCATCACATTCCACTTCCTGGTCCCTATAGTGCTCTTTTTCAACCCAGACTGTACATTCTGTATTTCTTTCTGTCCTATTTGCTCTTTTTCACTGTAGATCTACATAATATTCATCAATAGCCACACTACCATTTCTATGTTAGGCTGCCTTGAAATATCCTCCACCAAAGAAATTAGTCCATTTGCTTTTCAATAGGCTGTGTGGGCAGACAGCAGCCAGACTCTTTGCTAAAATATCCCAGTTTCTGTTTAAGTCCTTATTTCCCTCTGGAACTACTTTGCTTTCAGCACTGCTTTCTTCCAGGTTCCTACTAGAACAGCCTATTAAACTTTGCTTACAACATTCAACTGCTTTTCTACTCCAAACTGCCAAAGCCTTTCATATTCCTCCAAAAACCCACATGGTCAGGTTTATCATAGCAATACCCCACTCCTGTTACCAATTTCTGTATTAGTCACTTTTTTTGTTGCTGTGATAAAACAGCATGACCAAGGGAACTTATTAAAGGAAGAGTTTATTTAGCTTATGGCTCCAAAGGGGCAAGAGTACATCATGGTGGGGAGGCGTGGTGGCAGAGGTGGCTGGAGCAGAAGGCAGAGGCTCACATCTTCAAGCAGGCACAGGAAGCAGACAGTGACTGGAAATACAAGGTTAAGAATGCTCTAAGCCCACCCCCGGTGACATGCTTCCTCCAGCATAGCCACACCTTCTAAGACCCCTCCAAACAGTGCCACCAACTGGGGAGAAAAATGTCTAAATACTTGGAGTTTATGTGGGACATTCTCATTCAAATCACCACAAGTCCGAAACCCACTTTCAGGAATCCTAAACTAGGAAGAATCAGGGCAGGAGTTTTCAATGCTGTACCCAGGGGCTTTGGTTTTTACTAAACTAATGACTTACGTACAGTGGCCAAGATGCAGAGTTCTACCTCAAATCCATTTTGTCTGCTTGCTTTCCTTTACGATTTTATGATTTTCCTTTATGATTCTCCCAAGAAGTCACCTCCATCTCTTTGCATGTACTGCTTGCATGTAGGTAGATGCACCCATGTTGTACAGTGCCCTTGAAGGTCAGAAGAGCACATTGGATCCCCTGGAACCAGAGTTACGGATGATTGTTGGCTGCCATGTGGGTACTGGGAATCAAACCCAGGTCCTCTGCCAGAGCAGCCAGCTCTTACCCGCTGAGCCACCTCCAACATTTTGAAACATTTAGATTAGAAGTATTCAGCTAGGTTCTCCAGTAATTGAGACATAAATGGCAGGATGCTTTCCTTGTGAGAGGATGCTAATCTGAGAAATACAGAAAAATCAAGAGCTTCACCTGAATCTCATTGTGGAAGAAGGGCGTGGGGCAGAGTGCTGAACTGTAGGTGCTGAAGTAGGAGGTCCACTTTACAGAACAGTTCTCAAACCACAAGATTACCGTCTGAGGACAATGTCTGAATCCACCGTTACACTCCTTACCAAGAGTGCTCTGGAGAATGTAGAAATTTCAGTCTTTCTTCTGTGATGCTAGACTTTAAGAGCCTGTCCCACTCCATGGAGGCAGCATTGTGGCTTCTCATGGTACCAGTTGGGGAGATGAAGAGCTGCCTTATGCAAAGCCCAGAGAGGCAGCCTTCCGACAGGTGGCCTTCAGACTTTTAAAGAATTCCATACTATTGCATCTGTCACCTCACTGTTGAGTGAGGAGAATTTGTCTTTAAGGGGGTGACGCTAGATAGGCTGAACAGGCTTCAGTGAATGAACTCACACTGAGAAACATCTGGGTTCAGAAACTTGACTTGATAGACCTTAACATATATGACAGAATACATGAACTTCTGTGGGTGGGCTATGGGTGGTGCAGATGGGGAGGGGGCCTAAATATGATTAAGATATATGAAATCCACAAAAAGTCAATAAAAATCTACGTTGGGAAAGAGAATGATCATCCTAGAGTTGAGGATGCAGCTCAGGGGTTGGGTGCTTGCCTAGCATGTGCAAGGTCCTGGGTTCCATTTTGACAGCACAAAGAGCCATCCTTCATCTCATTTCTGTAGACACCTGCTGCTTGCCTTGACTTTTGCATGCTATCACTCCTGGGGAAGATGGTACTTGGAGCTCCAATGAACCTATGGAGGGGTCTGTGAAGGTTTCATCACTAGAAAACCAAGATAAACCAAAACCAGTTTTAAGTGGTCATATCTAAAGAGTGACAAATTAGAGACCACATTGTCCTTCCCATGTCTCAAAAACAGTAAGGCTATTGTGATGAAGTTAGCAGTGGATGAGGGAGAAGAATTCTGATTTCTGACAGGGAAGCTTGGGTGCCATCTGGGAAGCAACTAAATCATGAAGTGTCCACCTTACCTTGAACTCTAGTGAAAATAGAATTTCAGGGCTGGAGAGATGGCTCAGCAGTTAAGAACACTGACTGTTCTTGCAGAAGACCCGGTTCAAATCCCAGAACCCACATGGCAGCTAACAACTGTCCGTAACTCCAGTCCCAGGGGATCCAACAGCCTCTTCTGCCTTCCGTGTGCATTGCATGACACGGGTGCACTTACCTACATTCAGGCAATACACACATACACATAAAATAAAAATAAATAAAATGTTTTAAAAAGAAAATAGAATTTCAGTTCCTTCTCTTTCTCCAATTGTGCACAAGGATGTATCTCTGTTCTGTGACCTAATACAGTGGAAACCAGTTTGGTACTTAGCAGTGTGTGCAACCCATGTCATAGTGTCAGTTTCCCCATTGATGTTCTGTGACATGATTGTGTTTTCTAGGTTTTTCCTAAATATCCCTGGCAAAAATGTTTCTTGAGCAGCCTGAAGAACAAAATTGTGACCCAGCGTCTCTCTGATGATTTTGTTGGAATGACTTTTCCTGAGGTCTCCCGGTACGTGAAGTGAAACACTCCCCTTACTCTTCCTGTACCTCACCCAGCACTGTCGATGGAAGACTCACTGGAGGCCAGGCTCCAAACCAAACCCTGGAGATTAAGAACAGCAGCGCAGAGTCTCTAGATCCTAACAGCTTACCATGCATGTGGGGCAATTTCACCTGTCCCAGTTGGCACTCTTGCTAACACTTATGTCAGGTGGACTCGTTTAAACTGGAAATCCATATTTGAGTTTCTTCCTCTGTTGAGCTGCTGGTTTTCTGCCCAGCAGGGAACATAAAGGGTCGGTTGTATTCCTGTAAACCGGCCCCTGCTTGTCTCGCTCCTCACATTTGCTTTTTTCCTTCCCAGGCTCTGCTTTGTGAAGATACGTCTCATGCTGATAGCCGTCGAGCACAAATCCCTCTTCCACAGGTGGTGGTACTGATAAGGCTTTTCATTGCTTCAAGTTTTTGTTGTTGTTTGTTGAGGAGTGTTTTAGGATTAAGACTTCTGAAATACAGCCATGATGAAGCTTTGGGCCATTGGTCCATAATGACTAGGGTCTGAAAAGTTTCCCTTGTGGGTAGATACGTTGACTTTATTTGTATGGCCCTATCCCATTTCTGTCTTTTGATCAGATAAGAGAAAAAGTAGTCACCTTTCCAGCGCTGTTCCTCTTAATAACATTACCACATGTTGGGAGTCTTAACCATGAAGCAATACTATGAAGTAGAATTTTGTGATAAATACCCTCTACAAACACTAGCCTTAGAAATTAAGCTCAGGGCCAACAAGATGGCTCAGCTTGTGAAAGTGCTTACCATGCAGGCCTGAGAACTTAAGTCCGTCCCCAGAACCCGCACTGGAAGTAGACAACCAACTCCCAGTAACTCCCAAAGTAGTCCTCTGACCTCTGCATGTGTGTTGTGGTACATGTGTGCCAGCACTCACAACACATCACACACACACGCACATAAATAAATAAAACCTAAAAACAAAGTAAGATTAAAAAAATCTTAAAACATGGGAATTTGACTGCTGTTGCTAGAGTAGATGAGGGGATGTTATCAGACCATTAACAATTCATGAGAATTGGATACAATGAGAGGAAAAATAATCATGCAATAAGAAAACCCAAGACAAACAGAATGTGCCTAAAAATAAATGGGAGGCCAGGCGTGGCAGTGGATCTTTGTGGGATGGAGGCCAGCTTGGTGAGTTTCAGGCCAGCTGGGAGACTTTGTAACAACAACAAAAAATAATAATAATTTTAAAAAATGGGAGAAAAAACTAGTGGGGTGGAGGAGTGAACTGACTGATGTAATATGGAGATAAAAGATGCTGAAAAATAAGAATTGGAATAATTCAATGGGACAAGGCGCAAAACGCTGTTGTGTGGTCTCATACCATTTGCTTAGTGAAAACTAACTCAAGATAAGTGCAGAGGACTTCATGTGACTTGTAAGCTGTGGCTTTGGCAAAGTGTTCTTCCTGTGTAAGAAGTCAGTTAATCTCTAAGCCCCCTACCAGCTCCAAAATTAGCAGTACTAATAGTCCTAGAATTATAGAGAGACTTTTTTTTTTTTTTGAAACAGAGCTGCTCTTTATAGCCTTGGCTGGCCTAGAGCTCACTATATAGACCAAGCTGGCCTTGAGCTCACACAGCTCTGCCTGCCTCTGCCTTCCAAGTGCTGGGATTACAGACTTGTATCACCACACCCAGCTTTATAGAGAAAGATTTAAAGTTCAGTAAATTTGGATAGTAACAGACTATGCAGAGATGATTTCATATGAAAAACTGGAAAGAAAATATCTAGCTAAATGAGATGTTATAGAAGATTTCTGGGGAGGAGAAATCAGTGGGGTGCTGACTGTTTGCTTAAATTCTGTTTAACAATCTTGCCATACTCAAGAAATCTCATAGTTTAAGCCCATATATGGAAACATCTGCACAAACAGATTTCCTACTAGAAGCAGGCTCTGGTGAACAGGATAGCCTTAAGAATCATAAACCAGTTTGGGTTTCAGATTGGCTTAAAACTTGGGAGGCAGAGGCAGGCAGATCTTTGTGATTTTGAGGCCAACCTGGTCTGCATAGGGAGTTCTAGGACAGCTGGGGCTACAGAGAGACCCTGTCCCAAAAGGACAAAAAAAAAAAAGATGGCAGAGATCAGCTTATACACCGGAATTTGGAGATCTCTGGGTGTAATCTTGTTTAGATCTTTTCTAACTAATGTCCTAGATTTCTGGAACTTTCACTAAGATGACTGTGTCAACACAAAAATAGAACTCTCACCTCAAAGAGGATAAGAAATAATTTATTCTGGAGCCAAATATGAGTGACCATGGCCTGGGAACACAGATTCAGGTTACCCAAATTCCATAATCCAATGTGGAAGCAGTTTCATGAAGTTTTTATAGTAACAGAACAAAGAAAAGTCATAAATCAAGATTTTGGGGGTAGGGGAGCTTTTTTTTTTTTAATCTTTTTGAGACAGGGTCTCCCTATAGTCCCAGCTGGCCTGGAACTCACTATGTAGACCAGGGTGGCCTTGAAGTCATAGAGATCCACCTGCCTCTACTTCCCGAGTGCTGGGATTAAAGGTGTATGCCACCACGCCCAGCATAGGGGGGATGCTTTTTGAGACAGGGTCTTCCTGTAGCCCCAGCTGGCCTTGAACTCACTATGTAGACCAGGCTGGCTTTGAACTCACAGAGATCTGCCTGCCTCTGCATCCTGAGTGCTGGGATTAAAGGCATGCACCACGACCTGGCTTAAAGACACTTTTCAAATTCATTGGTGGAAACATCAGGTAGGCAGTTTACAGCAAAAGAGAAATCTCAGCTGTAGGCCTCAGATGCTATCTGGTGACACTCAGCCTTTTGGTTGGTGGGTGCTAGGGCTTTATGTTAATATCTTCTGAAAGGTTTTTAATCTGTTGGTCACAGGATGTTAAGTCAGAAAGGGGTGGGCAAGGTGTGGCTAGTTAGGGGCTAAAGGTAGCCCAAGATAAAGTGTAATTCAGCTCTGGACCTGAAACCTTTCAAACTCTCTACAATCATTGACATTCTAAGCAGTTGATCACTCTGCAGAAGGTTCAGTTTCAAGATACCTTTGTGGAAACTTTTGTTCATAATTTTCCGTTGGCCAAGCACCATATTTTGTGCATGCAGGGACCACATATTTATTCCCATGTTGCTAAGAAACACTTCCTAGGATCTGCTGTAGATGAGGCTGAGTAGCAAGAGGAAGAGCAGTTCTTCAGGACAGAGGAACAGCTGGTAAAGCCAAGAAGCAAGAAATTCCAGGCCCATATCAAAACTGTCACCATCATGGTCCAGATCTGATTTATTCTTTTCCTTTGTCCTCTGTATCTGATATAACATTTGCATGTGGCATATATTATTATACTTAAAATTAATCAAAAACATTGCTGAGCCTAATGGAATAAATGTAACAGTTGAAAGAAATATGTATTTAAAAAAAGATCAACCGTGTTTCCCCTTGTATTTGCTGTTAGTTGTACTCTATAAACAGTCTTACTTATCTTTAGAGTATTTAAACAAATTTATTATTATTTTTTTAATTTTTGGTTTTTCTTTTAGTAAGTTTGACCTCATAACCTCATGTGGAGTGGCTAGCTCTAACTCTAAAAAAGATTGATTTCCAATGTTAAAATTATTGTAGCTCTTACCTGTAGATACTGACTTGATTTGTTTTATTACATTGGTATCTGTCCTAGTTTGTTCTTCATTGCTGTGACAAAATACTCTGACCGCTACCAACTTGGGGAGGAAAGGGTTTATTCAGCTTACATATCCTGGGTCACAGTTCATCCAGGAGCCCAAGGTAGACACTCAGGGCAGGAACCTGGAGGCAGGAGCTGGAGCATAGGCCATTGAGGAAAGCTGCTTACTGGCTTGTTCCCCTGGCCCCTGCTCAGCCTGCTTTCTTATGCAACACAGGCCCACCTGCCCAGGGGTGGCACCACCCACAGTGGGCTGGGCCCTCCCACATCACTCATCAAGAAGATGCCCTTCAGACATGGCCACAGGCCAGTCCAATAGAGGCAATTCCCCGATTGAGGCTCCCTCAACCCAGGTGTGTCAAGTTGACACTAAAGCTATCCAGCACAGTATTATACCAGATTTAGTTTGGAAAAGTAAATGAAAACATATTATAGAAGAAATTACATAACAATATAGTATTTCTTTAAATTTCCTTTTAAAAAGAATGTCTTCATTTATATACCAAATACCAATAACATTGATTAAAAACAAGAGATCAACCTGTTAGAAATCACAATTTTATAGGCCTTGTAGGCATAACCAAATATTTCTTTTTACTTTAATGATTAGAAATGGAAATGGGACCCTAGAAGGAGTCACTGTAATATCATCAATTTCCTTTTATTAATAAAATATAAAGGGCTGGAGAGATTGCTCAGTGGTTAGAACACTGGTTGTTTTTGCAGAAGGCC